TTCTCCTCTCACGGTGAGTCAGCAATTTTGTTGGCCTGTCCTCTCACATTTACTCAGAGCTCAGCCACCTTTCAACACCTCAAACCCTTAACATCATTTTTGGCCTGGATTATGGAAATATCTTCTTAACTAGACTCCCCACCTTCTCCAGTTGGTTCTATTCATCACCCAGAAATATTTGGATCATGTCAGTCCTTGGATCAAATCTTTGCCATGTTTTCCCAGGATCTGGGCAGGCACCATTCTCCCCTCTCTGTAATTCCCAGGCCCATCTCTTGCCACATTCCCAGCCTGGCACTATCTTCTCCAGCCTGTTCCACCACAGAGCTGCTGCTCTCCCAGGTCCCAGTGGGTGGAAGGCTCTCCTCCACAGAGTCCCCTTAGATGTTATGTTCTCAGGCAGGCTCCTCTATTCAAATGACTCCTCATGGTTCCCTAGTCACCTATCCTGCTGTTTCCCCATATTATTTACCGCTACCTAACATGCTCTCTATTTCTGTGTTTACTGTTTGCCCTCCTGCATTAAAATACAGATCTCATTAAGGATAGAGGGATTCACTGGTCCCTAACCCTGAGAACAGTACCAGGGACGTGGTAGGAGCTCCAGGAGTACCTGTCCGACACACAAATGAACGTTTTCCTTTGCTCTTAAATGAGAAAGACACTGATGTAATCTACTCAAGGTCACCTTGGAAGTGGCAGAGCCGAGATTCAACGTTCCACAGACTCTCTGTGCTTTCCTGCCTATATTAAACCATCTGTGAAATTTCAAAGGCCATCCYGAGCCATCAGAAAAACATCATTTTGGATTTCCCGGGGATGGGGTCAAAGATCTGATGATGAAGATGACATATCAGCRCTGACCAGGCTTGTCATTTGAGGAGGTTTTCCCTCAGTTGCCACATTTGTTTTCCTTTCCTTAATTCTAGTAGAACAGTATCGAGCAATGTCCTGGCTAAACACTTCTGGGGTCTTATGTCTTTTGTGTGCATCATGCAAACAACAAACCATGAGGAGTGAGCCCAGTGTGACCAGAGGCTGAGTATCACAAGGAAAACAAAACCACCTAGTGGGTCTGACCCTTAGGATTAGCATATGTAATCATAATTTTATAGCTTGGTAATTAATTAAATCACACAAATTACTGTAATTAGTATGACTTTAACAAGTGCAAACACATTTTGGAAATGTCTCATCTAAATACCTCTATGACAGTGGTCCCTCCTTATCTGCAGTTCCACTTTCTGGGGTTTCAGTTACCCACAATCAACAGCAGCCTGGAAATACTAAATGGAAATTTCCAGAAATAACAACCCATAGGTGTTAAATCATTTCTAATCTAATATATTGTTTGAATTCTTCTGCTTTATTGTTAGTTATTGCCAATAT